AATAGCTTAAAATTTTAAAATATTTGATTGGAAATCATTGTGTTAATAAAAATAATAATAAAACAGCAGAGATGTCCTTCCCAGACCAATCGAGTCCCACCTCCAGCTCCTCACACCAACAGCCTAAAACAGCCAAATTAGATGAGGTTTCCCACACGACTAATCATTTTTTTTTAAATAAATTAAGCGAGGAAGATTAAATTTGATATTGACTATAATTAATTACAAAATATTCGCAATAATTTATAAGATTTTTGACCCATAGTTAGGGAAAATATTTGCGTACATAAGACATACGCAGCGCTCATAGTTAGGGAAAATATTTGCGTACATAAGACGTACGCAGCGCTGCGTACGTCAAGGATTAATTAGGGGGTACAGTGAGGTTATATCCGGGTTATACCCACCTGTAGCCTCCGTGTAACTCCCTTGTAACATCCGTGTAACTTATTTGTACCAATGAAATTACAGAAACACGGAACTCATTTGTAGGTTACAGATAGTTTACAAAGAGGTTACATGGGGGTTACAGAGGGGTATAACCCCGATATAACCCCCATGCACCCTCTGAACCCCTAGACGTACGTAGTGCTGCGTACGTCTTATGTACGCAAATATTTTCCCATAGTTAGTGACAGCCACAACATGCACATATAATGGTTATTTGGTAAAATATCAAACATATTTCTTTTTTATTTTATTAATTAATAATTAATGACTTTTATTTTCATTTAAAAAAAAAGAGTTTGTTGCGTTAAAATATTTTTTATTCGTAGACTTAATTTTATTATTAATGATATAATAAAAAAATTTAAAACTTATATCACCATGAAAAATGGTTTTTTTCTTAAACGATTTAGCTACAATACTAGTTTGGCAATTAAATGTTCTAATTTTGTCATAACTTATCGACTGTATTTTAATATTTAGTCATATTTTGAAATTAATTCTCATTATAACTATAAGTCTCAAAATCATAAAATTTTATTTAAAATAGATACAATATACGAGAACTTAATTAAATTAATCAGAATAATCTTTTCATAGGTCTTGACTCAGATGATTCATGTCAACAAAGTAGACAAAGTACATTCCTTCATTTAGGATATGTTTGGGGCAGCTTGTGCTTATCCAGATAAGCAACAACAAAGTACATTCCTTCATTTAGGGTGTGTTTGGGGCAGCTTGTGCTTATCCAGATAAGCAACTTATCCTGAAGCGCAGCTCGCGGGTTCAACCCGCGACCTGTGTTTCGTGTAAAAACCCAACCGCATTTTCGAATAAGCTGTCGAAATGTGTTTTCCAAACCGTGAGCTCAATTTTAAGTCAGTGCTGAAATAATCCCCGTAAAATATTACTAGAGCTCAATTTTAAAATAATCAGAAACTATTTTGACATTTGTATAAATTCTGAGACTAAAACTGACCCATATAAATAGTCAGAAACAATTTTAAGGCTTACTCAAAAAATAATTTATAATCAACTATAAGACCTTTCATTAGTGCCAAAAAATATTACTTAGATGTTACTAATTGAATGTTAAGAGAGAAATAATTAGAGAGAGAGAGAGAGAGAGAGATAGAGAGAGAGAGAGAGAGAGAAGGAGGAGGTTAAAACAAAATAGAAAGCGAGCGAATGCTATACCTTTCATGTTACACATAATTATTTAGCAATAAATAATTACTCCATTTTACAGGACAAATAATTGAGTGTTTCTTCTAGAAAGAGAAAGGGAGAGAGAGAGAGAGAGAGAGAGAGAGAGAGAGAGAGAGAGAGAGAGAGAGAGAGAGAGAGAGAGAGAGAGAGAGAGAGAGAGGCAAAGTTGGTGAGAGTGGGGCTTAATTAGTTCATTAATGATTCACTTCATGCATATTTGGCATTTAAGTAATGCCATAACTCACAAAACACATCCCCAAACAAACCCTCAAAATCATTGAATAATTGAATAAATCACACCTGATACGTTAATATCATATTCTATATTACCAATCCAATAATCCATCGACAACTCTTTTCTACCTGCTCTAATTTCATTAAAACGAAACTTTACGTACATGTCACATAGTGCTCGTTTGGGGCAGCTTATATGCGTGGTGGGCGTTTTAGAAAAGCCGCGTATGAATCGCGATATTAAATCGCTCGACGCGTATCCTTCATTATTCCCGGCCACGCTTCGGACCCGACATTCTGCGTATCGTTCGAGCGTATTACCCTCCAGCCCCTCATCCCCGGTTCCGGTCCAAGGCGGAGAGGAAGATATTCCAGTCCAAGGCAGAGAGGAAGATGAAAGGATCCTGGTAAACAAACAGGGACAGAATGATCATTTATCCAACAACAACTGCCAGTAAGTTGTTCTGAATAAACTATCTCAAACATCAACACATTATCAGAATAATTTGTTTATCAACAGATGTTCCGGTCCAAGGCGGAGAGGAAGATGAAAGGATCCTGGTAATCAAACAGGGACAGAAAGATCATTTATCCAACAACAGCTGTCAGTAAGTTGTTCTGAATAAACTATCTCAAACAGCAACACATTATCAGAATAATTTGTTTATCAACAGATTATAAATAATCAACAACAGCTGTCCTAAGCAGACCCATAATTCTCATATATTTACATATCTATCACCCAAATTTTCATATTTACATCTTCAACCCACAAATTCATAATAAAAGCACAAGGAGGATTGCAAGAAAGGTATAGAAACATTTTAAATGTGGCGCAACGGAGAGCACAAGTATCAAATGCCTCGCCAACAAACGGGCGCAGAATATGTAAATTACTTAGGATTCTTCGCAATAATGTGCAAGAATCCGAGCTCTGCTGGCAAGCCAATTTCATAAAAATGGAAATTCTGCACATTTCTCCCATCACATTGGTCATGTAATTATAGTTTGGTGTCATCGAAGAGAAGAAAAATGAGACATGTGGCGTCTTTCCAGGTGGCCTGGATTGAAAGTATTCTATTTTATTGACGACAGGAGTATGAAGGACTGTTGGGAGATGTCAGCATTTTACAAATGCTGGCGCCGAAGATGGGGGAGGGAGTTATTTGGTGTTTAGCAGTGCTTGATTATGCTGTTCGGCAGTGTTTGCTTTGGTGGTATTCGGCTGATTTGACGTTGGAGTTTCATGTAGCTTTTTGTTTTTATTGTTGTTGTTCATGTATTTGTCTATTATTTGTATTTATAATACTTTCAAGTTTTGATATCACCTCTGAAATGCTATCATTATTAACTTTTATAAAGTTAAATGCATATTTTTATGCATGTTTTTATGACACTAGTGTTAGAAATATCAATTTTATGGGGTAGATATATGTCAATACATAGAAATTGTGTGATATGTATATATATATATATATTACTAGAGGAAAATAAACATTTTTAACCAAAAATATCCATGAAAAAAAGTTCTTATTGTATTTTTGTTCACATATTAAACTGCAACAAAAATGATTACTACTGCAAAAATGTTCTTCGAAAATACTCTTAATGAATTTATTGCCAAAAAATATTATGTAATCTGACAATTTTCAATGATTACTGCTATATATATGTATGTATGTATGTATATCTTTATGGATACATACATGCAAGACTTGTATTCGCTATCATTAGAATTTATGAACATATTATGTAGACAAGTGAAAAGTCACATTCAAAATAATTTCAATGATATATATAGCTGCTCCTTAGCACAATCAAATCTTCTTTCTCAAGCTTTTCTGACAAGCACAAATTGCTTTTTATGACTTATTTATCACCACTTATACCCTACATGCAAGAACTTAATCTTTTGCTCAACAAAAAATCAAAATGTTGATCAAGAGATATTTATTAAGCTCTTCATATTCTATGTCTTATGGTCCAAATCATATTTTTGGATTTGCTCTCTCCTCTCCCTCATCTTACCCTTCTAGAGCATAAATTCATCAAACAATGGACAAACTGGCTTCCTGAATCTCAAGAGAGTCGAAAAAAAGCAAAATTTTATCTCCGAGAGTATTGAATTTGAAGAAGATGATCCCTTAGATTCTATATTGTATTTCAGAAAGCTATCTTTGAAATGATAAAAGGGATGGAAATAAAAATCATGAGAAGAGAATACATTTCAATAAAACTTATATTAGATTTTTTGATAGTTGTGGATTACCATATGGAAGATAACTATTATTAGTTTTTTCAGATATTTGTATTTGTATTTTTTGTCCATTCTTATTTTCACATTAGTATTGAAAAAAATCTAGTTTCATTAAAAAAACAAATAAAGGCATATAGACATACTAAAATATATTAAATCATAACAAGCATATACATGCTTGTACACATAGTATACCTACGCACACGGATATATATAGTAGATGAAATCATTGACAAAATTCAACTAATTTATGATATATTAAATATTGTTCATTATATATATATATATATATATATACACACACGCGCGCGCGCGTGTCTATATATATCAATCAGGCCAAGTAGTAAAAAAATTGAGTTAATCATCTATTTGAACATGACCAAATATAAAGAATGAGTATTTTGGCAAGTTCTTGATGAGTTGATTTTTTTTTTGAATTGAAAGAAAGTGTTAGCAAATGATTTAAACATTAACTAATAAATTTATCACTACAGGAATTTAGGCTTTTTTCGATAGCCACAATCCGTTATAAGAAAAACCTTTGTTTTTAATATTACTGTCGTTTTAAGCTCATGGGTAAAACGCTTGTCAGTAATTCCAAAACTGACCGATATTCTGACGGTATAAATTTATTGACAGTTATCCGATAATTTAATGTCGTAGCTTTTTTCAAGAAAATTCGAGTCGCCGACAATCCTCGTTTCGTATAACAAAAGGTTCTTTCGCCAGTAATAGCGACATCATACACGTCAGAAAAGTGTCGCATCCGTTAATTTTTTTAAATAGGCAAAATCATTGATTATCGGAAAATTATCTCGTTCGTCGTATTTTTGTGACGCACCTTGAGCCGTCAATTAATGTTCGATTATGCGTCGGTAAAAATATTCATTGGTTCACCATCGGTTTTGCCTACAAATAAATTTGGAACCATCGCAAAAATAAACGGTAACCCGCGGAAACCTATAGCATAAGGGAGGGGCAGATTCTTTCTTTACCACATCTGCTATCACAACATTTAATATAGAATTCCAAACATTTATTAAAATACATAGTTGTCAAACAGAAAATTTTCCAATCAAATAATGAAATAAAAAAAATGCATTTACTCTAAAATATGTACATCACAGTTCACACCAAAAAAAAATATGTCCAAATACACATAAACATAAGAAAAAACTTATTAATCTTCTTCCTCTATCTTATCAATCTCATTCTCATCGTTCTACACCGCCTCCTCCTCCTCCAATATTGTCGCTGTCTTGCCACGCTCCCTCATCCGTTGCTAGAAGAAATCAAACTCAGCCTTCAGCTTGACCTCCATGTTGGCCTTCCGCTCCGACTTCATCTGAGAGAAGCGGGTCTCCATCTCGGCAGAGAATGTTGCAACATGCTTGAAGATCTTCTCATATAGTGCGGTAAAGGTAGAAGTTGCAGATGTACTGGTGGAGGAGTGAGCGTCGTAGGCAAACCACTACCACCCGAGCCTGTAGACTCGACCCTTCTTATTCCCTCCACATGTCATACTTGGAAGGATCACGCTCGCAGATCCTAATACCTTCCTACGCCTGGGATTGGCTCTCGTTCAACTACTGGAATCTCTCCTGCAAACAAAAGTAGACACATTTAGTTAGTGCTAACATTTATTAATACCAAACAGGTTTAGCTCGTCAATTACCTAGGTCGCATGAGATCTATCGTCGATCCAATACTAGTCGAACCACCTCCTGTGGGTGTGCTCATGTACATTAGTGGCAGAGGGACCTTGTCCAATCTCCACAACCTGTCCATAAAACAAAATTGTTAAAATACATGTTCAAACTATAGAAAATCCTATAGCATAAAAGAAATCTTACCAGCCTCCACTTGTATTCTGTTTGTGGGAGCGCCCCCACCAATATACTTGGAGGGTCTCATGCCTCTACTGTCTGGCCATCTGTTCTGCTTTACTTGCTCCCTCTTCTTTTGTAGTTCAGGACATCCCTGATCCTAAGCAATGTGACAAAAACATCCTCTCTGAGCCACAGAGTACGTTGTCGTGATTTTCGGATATCGCCAAACATGTATCGGAAGCGATTGCCCTTGTGCTTGAAGTTGCACCGAATGTGCACCTCATGCTTGTGGCGTCAGAAGAATTGTTTCTGCAAATATTACGGAGATTATGTTTGATTGATAAATAAATAAAAATAAATTAAGTTATTTGTGAATGATACTTACCACAAACTCCTGAAACTAAGGATCTCGAATGACCACCAGGATCTCCTTCCATGACAAGTATGTTGAGTCATACTTGCTCCGAATGATATCTTAAATGACATGAATAGTCTGAGTCAAGTGGATAGAACCTTAAAACAATAATTTTATAGTTTTATATTCAATTAAGAAAAAGATTATTGACAATATTTAAAAAAAAAAAAAACTCAAGTGTTGTCAACATGCTTGATGTGGTAGCTACTGCCTATCTACTCCTGCATGGTAGAGGCAGTGTGGGCCTCAAATGCACTCAACCCCACTGCAGTCAAAGTGAAGGTAGGGTTAAGGGTTGGGGTGGGGGTCGGGGTAAGGGCGAGGGTTGGCCTCTCTCGACATTCTTCTTCAAAAGAATCTTTGAAGTCGTCTGATCGTAGAGATTACTTTCTTCTTATTTGTCATTAGCAACCTCTAGATTGAGCTCTTCATCGGTTGTATTAAGTGAAAAATAGAAACCTGTCATTTCAGTTTTTTGACGGGTGGTTTCAATGTTATTCTAGATATTAATGGTGGCTCTTGGTTTACTCGAATTGATAACCACCCAAGTAATGTTATCTCTTAATCTATGTGGATATCGAAGATATTAAGCTTGATTTTCCTATCGGGTTAGAATGAAAGAATCAAATTTAGCATATCTTCAATTCCATTTCACTTCTGTGATATTATATAGTCAATTTACCCTTGTTCCATGATTAGGAATAAGATCAAACCAAGTACAGTTGAATTGGAATACACTTCTTTCAATAGAGCCTTGATAAGATAGTTCAACAACTTCTTTCAGAATCCCATGATAGTCTATCTCGTCGTCCGACTTACTGTTTCCTTTAGCAAAAATGCTAGAATTAAAAGACTTTTTTCCTTTGGACCAGATTCTTGTATAAAACATGTACCAATTTATATTAT